CATTATAGAGCCGCACGGGCATCCAGGTGCATGATTACCGGTTTTTTGCATGAAGTCTGGTCGTTTATTCGGCAAATGCTGGCTTTGTGAAAAAACTACAAATGCAAATTTTTCGAAAAAATGCAAATCTCCAGTTCATTAAAAATCGAAAGTATTGCTCGGTCGTTTTTCAAAAAATTCATTTTCATTTGCATTTACAATTGCGGTTCAGGTCCGAGTTGATAACGATTTAGGTTGAGGAGCTGCTTGAGGCTGTGGTTGAGGAACTAGAGAGCTGAGTTTAAAATTTTTATCTCCCACTTGCATAGAGAATATTCCTGCAAAGTTTCAGCTTTCTACTCGCCTGGTCCGCGAAATCGTTTCCCTCCAAAATATTTCTTTGAGGGCCTCACACGCGGGGTCTAGGCGCGTATGGGGAAAGATCTTAAAACGGGAGGATGACGCACGAGGTAGAAACATATATCCAAAGTTTCAGCCTCCCAGCTCTCCTGGTTGCTGAGATGAAAGTGAGTGACAAAACGCACTCGCCTTCCGAACAAACACACAGATAGCCTCTCGACAATATGCGTTTTTGTTGGTTGTAGCAGCGTTATAGCGCTGCACAGCAAAAACGCATAAAAATCAATTAACAGAGCAAAATTAACCGTATATTTCTGCTTTTACGTAGCCTTCAACCTGTTTGCCGTGAATTTCGACTTTGCAAATGTACATTCCTACGGCTTCATCACCGAATTCCGCAATTCTGAAATGATCTTGATTCTGAATTGATTTTCTCCGTGGCATTTCGAAAACAGAATGAAATGGAGGCAGGAAAAGTGCACTAATTTTGTATCATTTAATTTTCATACCATTTCCCCGTCAAAACGCACAAACAAGCATTGGTGAAAAAGAAAAGGAAGCTTACATCAACTTATTCCCAACAGTTTCCGCATCAGCTGGCAGTTCGCCATCTTCTTTCTGCCAGGTAACGTGCGCACCGGGCACTGCGTACACCGGGCACTCAATTGTGGCTTCTGACTTCTCATCAAATTTCACCACTCGTGCATCTAAAATGAGGTAGTTGTAATTTTGTGCTTTTCAAGCAATTGGTTTCTGCTCATTCGAGGGAGCAGTCCGTCTCTTCTAAGTGGTATTGGCGGACGCCTTTCTTTTCAGTTAGAGCAGAAGAAGGTATACTTCCTCAACCCCACGCCAAGATTCATTTGAACGACTGATCCAACACGACACTAGAAGCATCATTTGATGTTTCAGCGACTGCATTCGCATTTCGCAATTGCAACTCAGGCTGGAACGCACCCAGGCTCACTGGTGTAATCATGCGTTTTGCAATAAACTCGTAGATCGCTATTGGCAAAAATGATCGCTACGCTGTAACCTAACACTTCGGCTCATATCGGCCGTGCTTTGGTCCCTTCCGGCATGCAGGAGGAAGAGCGTCAGTTGGGATGAAGGTGGTGCATTATAGAGCCGCACAGACATCCAGTTGCATGATTACCGGTTTTTTGCACGAAGTCCGGCCGTTTTTTCGGTAAATGCTCGCTTTGTGAAAAAATGACAAATTAAAATTTTTTGAAAAAATGCAAATTTCCAGTTCACCAAAAAGTGGAAGTATTCCTCGAGCGGTCGTTTGTCAAAAAATCGATGTTCATTTGCATATACAATTGCGGTTCAGGTCCGAGTTGCTGATGATTTTTGGGTTGAGGAGTTGCATGAGACTGTGGTTGGAGAGTTAGAGAGCTGAGTTTAAAATTTTTATCTCGCACGTGCATAGAGAATGCCTCTGCAAAGTTTCAGCTTTCTACGTTGCCTGGTTCTTTGGAGGTCCGTACGCGAGATCTAGGCGTGTATGGGGAAAAATCTTAAAACAGGGGGATGACACACAGGGTAGGAGCTTATATCCAAAGTTTCAGCCTCCCAGCTTTCCTGGTTGCTGAGATTTTTTTGGATGACAAAATACACTCGCTTTTCGAACACACACACACACACACACAGACAGCCTCTCGACAATATCCGTTTTTGCTGGTTATAGCGCTGCTCTAGCGCTGCACAGGAAAAACGCATAAAAATTGCTGAGCACAGCTATATAGTTCATGCATGATTTGGAAAACTGCACATGCACGCAGTATGCTATGTGTGTATGTATATGCGAGTTACATAGCTTGTGAGATCGAAAGGCGATATTTCTTAGATTTGAAAGAATACCAACCTTGTAGGTAATTAAAGATTTGAAACTGACTTACATTCTGCCCTGTATTTTTTTATGCCATCAGGTCCAAATTTGGCATGACTTATGGAATTCTACCTAACAACTGTTAATAAAGTCTAAAATGTTATTTGAGAAAGAGGCAAAGACTTGAGGGAGTAAAATGAATATTCACATTTTTATTTCTTTTTGCAAATATGTCACAAATTCTAGCCACTGGGATTTCAAGCGATCTTTGTACGGCGCACGAAATACGGCAAAAACGCATGATCTCACGGGTCCGTTTGGTGCGAGTTGCCATAACTGTTAAATGGGCGAATAGGTTGAGCTAACACCACCCAAACTATTCCAGCCTATGATATAGTTATCGAGAACAAGCTCAGAAACTGTTTTTGTAACAGACTGGAATGATCGGTAAATCCAATAGTGACAGCGGTATAGGCTTGTCCGATCAGCTCTCCATCGTCGTCTTCCACTTCGCACCGATACACACCATAATCATTGGACGGATCAGCCTTCTTTATCACCAGTGTATTGTCGTCGGAGAACTGACGGATAATACTGCCACCGCGAAGCAGCGACCACTCGAAATTTGCACCACCACTTTCACCTCCTGAATCTGTCACTCCTCTTTAAAGTTTCTGCCACCACCCATTCTTTGAACCACTTCATTCCTTCACTTCACCAGCGCTTCAAGTGGTGTTAGTAAGCAATCATATCAAGCACACTGACGAGTACTAGACGATGATGATGGCCACTGTTGCAGATATCTTCATCTGTGATGCTTCTTCACCCCAGTTGGCTCTGCTTTCTTCGTCCTCCATGTACTGGCAATCGGTTGAAGCATGTCCAGAATAAAAGCACATGTTAACGAATGCTTTAAAAAAATATAAGGAACAAATTTTCAAGAGCGACGCAACAAGGAGTAAATGCTCAGCTCGAAACTGAAACACTGAGGGTTAGCTGTAAGACAAAAAGCAACAAAAAGAATGACATGACCGTGTTGTGAGTTATGCACAAGCACATAAACTGGTCGGCTACGGCTGCTTTCGCCAGACTCGAACTCAATGAGCACCCAGTAGACGCCCTGCACAGCAAAATCGGCTGCTTGTTGAAGCCGAAGGAATTTATCGTAGCCGATTATCGCCGGAGCTCGATGTAAATTGCCTCTACCGGCTGAGCGGTACCACGTCAGACGATACGGCTCATCCGTTTCTGCAATTTGCCATTAGCATATCCAAAACATCCAAGCAGCATATGCCGTAAAACACGCGCGTTGAATCCTTTTTGTTTGATTTTTAATCAAAACTAGTGATTCTCTAAAACTTTCATCCTTATTAATAGTGTTAACCTAAATTTCACAATCCCCGGCACTTTATTAGCAAGTTAATTAATAAAGTTAATTTATAAGTTATTGCTAGGACGTTTTTTCAAATCTCGGTTTCGTCAAAGGATGGTCATCGCATTCAGCTGCCACTCCTTTGTTGCATAGTCCATTTTATTCATGTATTTTGTCGTTTATTTTTGCTAGCATGTATTTGCAGTGTTCACTTCTTTCACTGCCAAAGCAGAAAACGAATAAGGCATATGTGAGGGGCACAAAATCCGTGACGGTGCACTGATGGCAATTGCACACCGCCGCCGCAGTGCTTGCCATAACAAAATAACTGGATAAAAATGAAAATTCAACTGAAATGCTGAGTTGGCCAAATGTTATACAACGCTGTTATCTCACACTGATTACACATCACAAAAAACCAAAGCAACATGAGACATTAAAGAAGTGAAATGAAGTGGTCTTCGAATGTATGAATAAAATCAAAACTGGAAAACTGAAAACACCAGAAAATGGAATTTCATGCTGCGGTGTCAAAAGCATCTTTCCCCGGTCGAAATTTGAGCCGTGATGAAAAGCATTTCAAGCTTTTCTCAGGCTAAGCCTTCTGAGTATGTCTGAATGATTTCTAGCACTTAGAAATACCGTGGAGTTGCTTTAAAAGCGCTTGGCAGCATAAAGGGTGAGCTGGGCGTGTGACCACCAAATACGGGCTTGCCGAAATGACGACATTTCAGGCCTTTTCGATATTTAGTTCTTTCAGATCTAGAGATTGAGATGAGGGTGTACCTTCAACAGTGCAAGTAAGTTCGATGGAGTCGCCCTGATTGAGCACTCGTACTGTCGGAGGATCAATTTCAACACGTGCTGCATCCAGAGGGCCTGTGTTGGTAGCGTACAGAGTCACACGATTGCTGCCGATTAATTCGTCGTTGCGGTATCCTCGACACTCGTACTCACCATTGTCTGATGACTGTAGTGTTAACTTTTTTAAAGATTTGCCAGCTTGAAAAAGAGAATAAAGCCAGTTACTTCATTTTTCATAAAATTCATAACATCTTTAAAAAAACAGTAATCACTGCTTTTATAATCTGCAGCTCATGATAAAATTTTATTAGTGAAATCATACTGTTGGAGTGTTAACTAAAGAATATCAAAACTTTTATCGAATCGTTTCCTCAGGAACTTGAAGAAACAATTTTCGCGCTCAGTGAAAGTATTTTAAGGTGTTCTCTTCGAAGAAATTCTACCTGCGATACTGTTTTGGAAGCAATATTGAACATCGTACAGTAGATTTCTTTTGCAAAAACAGCTGACTGTTGGGACTGAGACTGGGAGAAATTGTGGTAACAACTCGACTGAGAATGGGATTGGGGCTACGACAGTGAAATCCTCAGCGCCAGTAATCCTGCTCAACTGTAGCTTTACACGTGGACACCTGCCACATTTTTCACGAATGCGCAGTGAATCTCTGATATTAATCAAACTCCTGATTATTGTCAATGAAATAACGAAAGGCTGCGTGTATAAGAAACCCAGGCTGGAACGCGCTAGGCCAGCCGGTGCAATCATACGTTTTTGCACAGTTTCTTGCGGATTTTTAGTACTGCATTAGTACGATTTGTGCTCGCATTGGCTTTATTTGCGTTGGCCCCTCTCTGACCCAAATATAACATCACTGTTCAAGCAAAAGCTATTTACCCTTCTCTACTCCAAACATCTACGGTAAAAACCAGGAACATACTTCTTCATCCTTTCCGTTCTTCACCGCTCCCTCTCCCCTCTAAATGTACGTTAGTTAGCCAATCGGCAAAAGGTCTGCGCCATTTAGTCCTTACATCCACCTATCCTAGCCCCTTGCCCATGCCCCGAACGAAACCCGCCAAATGCTTAGGTAAAGCTGAGAGCTCTCAGCTTCACTTACGCATCGGCTTTGCCTTATTCGCTTCAGCTTTCTTCACTTAAGCATCAGTTTTATATGTAAGGGTGTCCCCTATTGCTGACGGGTTTTTCACTCGCTTCTCTTGATTTTACTTTCCTTCTTCCCTATGCTTCTTATGCGTTTTTGCATATATGTAAATTGCAAAAACGCATATTAGGAAGAGGCTGTCTCTGTGTGTTTGTGCGTGTGTGTCTGTTTCTGTGTGTTCGCACTTTTTGTCACCCACTTTCAACTCGAGATCCAGAAAAGCTAGAAGACTGGAACTTTGAGGATATTTGCCTATACCATGCGCGACCCTCCCGTTTTAATTTCATCCCCCGTGGACGCCTGGGAGCGGCATACCGACGCTACAAAAAAATATGCAAATTTTTTGCCGGGAAAGCCATCTCGGAAACCACAAGAGCAAAGGGGTTGAAATTTTGTAGGAATATTCCCTGTGCATGTACTAGCTAAGGATTTCAAATTCAGCCCAGGTGTGCGTGGTATTCACGTAAGAGCGTATAAAAGTTTTAGGGGAAAATTGCTAACTCGGGTACCAGGAAAGCTAAAATTTTGAGGGAATGTTCTCTATCCAAATACAACTCAAATGTTTCAAATTCAGCCCTAAATCGAACGTAAGGGCGGATGGAAGTTTCTGCAGGAAAATTACTAATTCGGCAACTAGAAGAGCTGTAAGGCTAAAATTTTAAAGGGATATTCCTTATCAAAGTGCAATTTAAAAATTTCAAATTCAGCTTTTTAAACATGTGGAGTACCCATGTATGGGTATGTGAAGGTTCTGGCGGGAAAATCGCTAACTCGGCAATTAGAAAGGCTGGAAAGCTGAAATTTTGGTAGAATGTTCCCTGTCCAAGTACAGTTCAAGTATTTCAGATTCAGCTTGAGGTATAGGTGGCCCTTACGTACGGCCAATTAAAAGTCTTGACGAAAAAATTTCTGACTGAACAACTAGGTTACTTTTAAAAAACGACTGTTAAGTGGAAATTGTACATTTACTTTGCAAAATTTATGGTGATTTATGCTAGTGGCCG